AAACAGATCAGAGATCAGATGGGCGAGAACTTAGATGGTTTCCCCGCTCAGGAGCCCAAATAATGTTTCAAAGCAGGATCATACAAATGCTTATAAGGACAAACCTCCTCAGCCAGTTGCTCCTCGAATGGCTCCATTTTTCTATTCATCTTTGTGTGGTATTTTGTTTTATCTTCGCTACCGGACGTACTTCCCTGCTCAACCAATAGGCCCTTTTCATTAGAAACAAACCAATTGCCTTTCAGACAGTTACCAACCTCAGAAATACAGGCGTACTTCATCTCTGTCGTCAAGATTGAAATTTGAGGATGATTCCAGAATTGTTGGAGAACCGAACACACAACAATGTGGGAGTCTAAACTAAATAAAGGAAATAAATGATTCGTGGAAAAAAACTTCTTTACAGCTATCAGAGCACAATAACGTCAGCTAACATCTATAGGGTGGTAAATCGATGGGTAGGTGAAAATAACTACAACCAAAACAGTAACTTAGACAAGCCATGTTAGCTGGAGATGTTGAAACAGCTAGCTAACAATAAACTAGTTAAAGTGGCAAAAAGCTACACGTGCACATCCCGACAGGTGGGCGTGTCAGGTGGCCAGGGTCTGTAGCGTCACTGTAGATGTTTTCTTATTTGCATTTATAAGCACTGAGCTGGTTTCCTGATACGTTTAATCTGCAACGAGAAACTGTCAAACATGCCCGAATTCTCCCGTTCCGCCTTAAATGGTGCAGCAGTTATATCCTGGCAGCTCAGGCACCATTTAAGGTGGAACCACCAGCACCAGTGAACGAACATCTACTCTCCGCTGAGCACTCGCTCTCTCGGTTGCTGATCATTTTTGAGGATGAAAATGAAAACTGTCCCTCTGAAAGCGGCTGCAGCAACAACTTTAAAGCATGTACTGCATTCCGTGTATTGTTGGTTAGCAGTGGTGAAATGCAAACACAGAGGTTCTTTTACTCCGTATGACAAAGTTTATTTCTTTATCAACTGCTTGTTTTCCTCTGCTCATTGTCAGCTGACAAACCACTGAAACTGAGATAAGGCTGTTTATGCTCCAAGCTCTAATACTTCAGCGAGCTGTACATGCTCTACTCGTCATCGTTTCTATAGGCATCGCTTTAGTGGAAGCAGCGTCACCTGCAATGACTTACTTCCTGCAGAAAAAAAGTGACAATATGAAACTGGCCTATCAGAGACGGCTTGATGTACAACACTACATGGGTGTGCACGGTGTGTTGTTGAGATTTTGAAGTTGCGCACGCCAAGCTACGATTTCTCATAACCCCCTGCTCTGCGTTTCTACACAAATACGTTCACACGCATCTTCAGAAGTATAAATCAGCATTTACTCGAGTCTTAACTAACATGCACACAACAGAAAAGGTCAACATAGTCATATTTCATTCGCGGGAGACGTTTTTTTCCTCTCCCGAGACGTCTTCACGACAAAGGTCCATCAGAAGCCGGCGTTACGTGCTCATTAAAAACGCCCACCCCTATGGAGATGTTATTATTAGATGTATTCTATGGATACAACGCATGCAGAAGAGCTGGGTATTAATTGCCAAATATGCCCTGGAGTCGTTTGAGATTTCGCTGTGAAACAAACAACACCCTCCTTGTTCAAACAGAGATAAAGATCAGACAGAGAGAGAGAGAGAGAGAGAGAGAAAGACAGGGAAAGAGAGACAGAGAGAGAAAGTAGGACTGAAATGAGCGTAAATATTGCATCAGACATGGTGAGTTGGTCTTGTTTTAAAAGGATAGCGGATGGGGAAATAAAGAGGGCCGGATTTGCTTTGCATGACAAAGGCTGGGTAAACAGAAGCCAGAGAGAAGAGCAGGTACTAACAGGCGCTCTCTAGCGCTCCCTGTCACTGCTGGTGGGACAGATAACTGCAGGGGAGTGAGGAAGAATGAGAGGGAGCTGCAGTGCCCTCAGACCTATAACTATATCAGATACGCAGGTTAGAGATAAAACACCCACTTGCCCACTTAACCACGCTGGTTTTACTGTCTTTTATCGTTTATATACACACACTAGGGCTCCACTGATTAATCCTCAGTCATTAGTGCTGATGACGAGGGACGCACCAATCGTGAATATCTAAGGATTCTAATTTCTTCACAGCCAAACTGTCAGATCTATTTGACCTGTTTGTGTGGATGACTAACATAAACTGTGCAGAAACAGATGAGCTACCACCTCTAACTTTAGATTTATAAAGTTGGTAGTAAGTGTACGGTGTTTAAAAACCTCTGGAAAACTGCTGTGCGATCCATTTTTGCTAGTGCTAATGCCCAAATAATACCTGCGCAGTGGTGCTCCTATGGGGGGTCCTGTGGGGGGTCCTGACTAGGCCTGAATGATTAATTGTTCTTATATTGAAATTGCATTTTAAAGGAGGTCAATTTTCAAATCATAAGAGGTGAAATTTTAAGTATAGACAACATTACCTTTGGTGTTTAGCACCAAAAGCTGTATTTCGATCTTATCTGACCACAGAACACGGTCTCAATGAATGTTCCAGTTATGTCTGGCAAGCTGTAGGCGCTTGAGTTTGCTGGCCCTTGACAGTAGAGTCTGTCTTCTGGCAACCCTCCCAACCAACCTGTGGTTATATAGCTGGTGTCTGATTGTGGTTTGGGAGACATTTTGTCCCCAAGACTTAACTAATGTCTGCAGTTACCCATCTGTGATCCTTGGAGATTCTTTGTCCACTCTCACTGTGCGTGGGGTCAGTATGGACAAACGTCCTCTTCCCAGCAGATTCGTAACATCTCTGGTTGCTTTTAAACTTCATAATTATTGCCCTGGTCTCATAACAATGAATGAATATGAGCATTTGGCCTGTGTTTTATCTCATATATATTCCCCAGTGAAACAAGATGTCATGGTTGACCATTTAAGTGCTCCTAATCTCTGAGGTGAACATTAAAACATAAAATATGAATGGGAATGGCAACAACTGGCACATACAGATCTGAGAAAAAATATTTATTTAATTATAAGATTTTTTTTCTTTCATTAAATGTACTTCAAATAAAGGTTAGATTTTGTTAATATTTGGAATGAAATCTCAAAAAGATAAGCAATGAAAATGTTCTTTACAGCCCATTTTGCTCATGTTTACTAGTGTTTGTGGGGCGCACTGTAACTGGCCGTCTACATTCATTGCTCAAGCCAGAAAAATTGGACATGTTGGTGGTCTTGGCCAAAACCAGATTGGATCTCAATTTATAGAAAATAATTTCAATTTAAACAGAGCCATATGTACAACTAACCTGTTTAACCAATATTTACCTTAAAATTTGTTCATAAAAACTATGAATGAATGAATAAATAAATAAATAAATAAATAAGGTTGGTGAGAATGATATGGACATTGTTGTATTAATGATCACCTAAAACGTTTAAAAGGCAGCCGATGAGCCGGTCAGAGCACAGAGAGAGAGAGAGAGGAGGGAACTTCCTGCACTTTTACTCACACAGCCTGTGAGTACTGCTGTACTCCGTACTTGGGCACATATGCATGTGTGAAAGTCTGTGGCTGTCAAATAATCAGTAAACAACAAAAATGTTCCCCAACACGTCTTAGATCACATACAGCACAGTCACATCCCCCATGTAGCTGTTAACAGCATTAAGACAACACAAACAAGCTCTAAAAACACACAACCACAACGGTACAGACTGAGCGCTACAGGCTACAAACTAATAACGCGCTAGAACTGTAAACCAAACTGTCTGTGAAAGTGAAACTAACTCGAATACACAGCTAACAAGGATCAAACAGGACTTAACGACAGCTCAGAATAAATGCTCACAACAGCAGACGATTAGTGAATGAACTTCACTCTGAGCTCCGTTTCTGCAGAAGGGGCTGGAGTGATACCGGACTGGACTGGACCGGACCGGAGCTTTTTATTCTTTCAGCTTCTTATACGAATAAAAATAAATACAGAGTGAATTCTTAACTATTAAAGAAGACGTTAACCGCATTCATGTGTACCACATTCAGAACTGAATGCACTGAATTCATAATCATTGATACAATCACCGCAGTATCATTACGCTTATTGTCGCTTATCGTCAATATATTCGTATATATCGAAAACCTCGTATCTCCATTTTTGTCATTTTTCGGTTTCTGACATAATTCGAAAACGCCTGTTGCCCTTAATATTGTATGTAAATTTCATGATGAGTGGCCCAAAAGAAACGGCCCGAAACGACTGAGAGAAAAGTCTGGTTCCATTGACTTACATTAAAAGTAAAGTATGTTTTTTCCATCTCCTGTAAAGTTACCATTTTGGAGATACGAGTTTTTGTTACGACAGCCGCAAAATATAATATGTAGACCTAAATTTAAATTGCGGTCACAATACGGGGCAAAAGGGGTTAAAGGCTAATAGACTATGCAAAGAAACAGCTAGACTACAACCTGTAAATGTAGAACTACAACCTGCACCTATATAGTAAGTGGACCTAATAAAATGGACAATAAATGTAAATACAAGTGGCCAGCAAACGCAGACGATAGTGGCCGCAAGAGCTGATTAAAAGCTCAGCGCAGATGAGAAAGAGGACTTCCTCTGGACTGTTTCTTGTGGTTATGTCTGATCACAGTTCCATTAAGAGCGATATCTGTAGCAGTGCATGAGCTCTGTCGCTGTGTAGAAATGCGCAGTCAACAGCGCTGGCCTGCCAAGCTTAATTTCCTGTTTATCTAGCACCGACTGGTACAAGCTGTGCCACCAATAGCACAGGGAGAGCTCAGCAAAACACTATGTGTGCGTAAACACGCACTCGCACACCTACCCACACACGTACTACTCAGCGTCTACAGAGGTATGTGGCACATGCACTGATGCGCTGCATTCTTTATCAGAACCCATTAAAAAAATCAGGTACAGTGCGATACCAGCCGACAAGGGCGCTCGGCCTCCTCGGTGTGCCCTGCCTGCCTCTACGGAAAGTCTTTCATACCTGTAGTGCGGCCTGCTTCTCGTTGCTTTTCAGAGATTTGATGGATCCACTCTGCTGCTGCTGCTGCTGCTGCTGCTGTAGAAGGATCTGTCTTGCAACTTGTAGAGCCTGAAATAGATATAAAAAAACAGAGGTGAGGAAAAAAGAAAGGTCATGGAGAAAAAAAATGTGTTGTTTTATTGTTTTTTCCACTTTTTGGGTCGAGGCTGTCCCTCGAGAATAGCCCCTACGGCTTTCGAACGCAACAGATGTAACCCAAAATGACGACGTGTCCCTGGCTCACCAACAGATAACAAAACAAAAACTGCACAAAACACACAACAGGCCGTTTTTTTTCCATCCCCGCCACTTTCAACAAAAAAAAATTTACATAGTTTCCTTTAACTGCGTGCAGAGAACAATAATCAGTTGAGAAAACAAACAGTTGGGGAAAGAGGAGGAAGACAGCAGCCAAAATTGATAGCAAACAGTTAGCGAGAAGTTTCTGCTGATACTGTACGCTTATAGTAAACAGACAGAGGAATAAAAAAAACAACAGAATGCCAATTAGCTGCTGTTTAAACTCTCTCTCCTTCTATCAGTCAGTGTCTCTCACTCGTTCCCTCTTCCTCTACCCCTTCTCTATAAAACAAATAAAAGGTTTATTGCCGCTCCAAAGATCTGTTAAAGGACACGGCCTTCTGCGTGGAAAACAAAATACAGTGCAGTCACATGTTTATTGCCCTGGCTACTCCACCCCCACCCTCCCTCCAACAATAAATAATCAAACTTGCCATCCAGTACAAACAAAAGGCAGCGGCGGTGCTGGGAAAAAGAGAGGAAAAAAAAAGAGAAGGCCTTCTGGTCGAGGAAAAAAGCGCCACTGATACCAAGAAAAGTGAACGGCGCGTTCCCACAGAGCGTCTGGGGTAGATTCACACCTACACCAGAGCAACATCTGAGTAAATAACCAGCTTCATTCTTTCCATCGGCCGCACACACACATACACACACACTGACGACTCCCACGATTAAACAAATAGTCGCAAAAAAAAGAGAAAAAAAAGGGCCCGAAAGCTCTGAAACTGCACCGCTGGCCTCTCTGGTGTGTCGTTTGTTAGGTTCTGTGCCGTCTATGTGTGCGTGAGGCTGATTCTTCTTGCTTTTTAAAGATAATGGTCACTCTGGGCAGTGCAGTAAATCTAAAATGAAATGCCTGCCCTGGAAGCTGCTAAATGTTACTGTGGAAACAATCTGTCATGAACAGCAGCAATCAACAGGTTGGAAATTGAGTATGATGAGCTGTAAATCATCTACATGGGATAAAGGAAGTAAGGAATTCTGTAGGAGAACGACATCATTCAACTGGAGGAAGAGGGAAGCTAAAAGAGACGAAGCCTCAGAAATTAGTGACCGTACAGCGTAGTAACATATGAGGGCCGTCACTGCTGATTATATTAGTAATGAGTAATTTGTGAACGATTTTGATGATTAGATGAGTAAACAGAGTAAAAAAGAAGTCTTAAAAAGAAATAAACCTTTAATATCCCTATAAATGCCAACTAATCACTGCTGATTCACTGACTCAACAGTGATTTTCTTAATTTTATTTATGTTATAATTTATTTAATATTTTTGATTTTATTTATATTTTATTTAGATTTGTTTTACAGGAAGCATTTACTTTCACTTACAATAAAACAAACACAATTGTTGATGACTTATTAAAGACCTGATTGCCAGATGTTATAACATTTTTGAATGATTGTGCAAGACATGTGGGACATCCTCAAGGGGAAAAGCGAGGAGTGATAGAAGGATAAACAAACAGAGAAAAAGAGAGTTTGAAGAAGTCATGAGGGATTCTGTGAATTCTGTGTGATTTTAGGCGAGGGAGAGAGAGTGAGCGAGAGAGAGAGAGAGAGAGAGAGAGAGCAAGAAGGAGAGTCAGGGATAGAGATAGACAAAGAGAAAGACAGTAAGGATAGAGTGAAAGGAGAGAGAAAATGAAGAAAAGAGAAAATGAAAAAAAGAGAAAAAGAAGAAAGAGAAAGGAGAGAGAGAGGAGAGAGAGCAAGAAAGAAAGTCAGAGACAGCAAGGAGAGTAAAAGAAAGAAAATGGAGAGTGAGAAAGGAGAGAGGGAGAGAATGGAGAGAGAAAAAGAAAGGTGAGAGTAAGAGGAGAGAGAGAGGAATAACTCTAGTTTAGCTCTGTATAAGCTGAAGGAGGGAGGGGGAGAGAGGGGAAAAAAAAGAGAGAAAAAGAGAGAGAGAGAGAGAGAGAGAGAGAGAGAGAGAGAGAGGAATTGCTATCTAGCAGACACTGCCAGAGTCCTACCACCACACACCGTACCTCAGCAACTACACACACCCAGAAACAGACCCCCTCAGACCCCTCACATATAAACATCACCTTCAAACCACAGCCCAGTCCACCCTCTCACCAACACAGATCAGAATGATCCACAAAACACACCAAAAACAATATATCAACAATTGGACCAATGAAATTGCCACAGTTAATAAATTAGAATGCTACAGATCCTGAAGAGAGAATACAGACTAGCAGATTATCTGATCAAAATAAAAAACCCCAAAGAAAGAAATATCTTAACAGTGTTCAGACTGAGTGACCACAATTTAGACATAGAAAAAGGGCGCCATAAAAAACACTGGAGGCCCAAAGAAGAACGAATATGTAATCAGTGCAGTTCAGGACAAATCGAAACTGAGCAACACTTTCTCTCCTCCTGTAACAGATATAAAGACCTCAGAGAAAAGTATTTCAATTCAGTTAAAACTTCCCATCATTTAACGAGAAAATGATTAAAACTGAGGATTTGTTACGGGTGTGTTTAGGAGAGACACCAGAATGTGTTGATCTATCAGCTAAATATGTTTACAGCTGCCACAAACGCAGAGAACACAGCACCTTAAACTGATCCCATGTAAACATATCATTTATTTAATGTTGTGTGTGTGTGTTGTATTTTACAATGTGTATGTATGTATGTATGTATATGTGTGTATGTACATATGAATATTTCATTATTTTACTCTTTCTTCTATACATTAGTCACTATCTAACCCTAACTCTGTAGAAGCTCAATGAATGAGCTGTTGAGTTAAGGCGCTTGGCTGGGACACAGCTGAGACTGTGGGATGACATCATGAGGCAAGAATATGACCACAGGCTACAGAGCGGCCACTCCAAAGCTGGCTCAGTCTGACATTAACGCTCTGCTCAGACAGAGCGAGCGGGTGCTGCGTTGCTCACGGCCACAGTCTCGCGTATAACACAGCATACAGTAATATTATATAAATATGCAGCGCGCTGGAACATTCACTGATGACTCATCCTACAGTAATAACACGGAAATAAACCACTCAAACCATTTCAAACAAGTGATCAAAATCATAGAGAGCTTTTGTTTCCATCCTAGTTTCTGCCATGCTCTATATTATGGAAGGGACTTTAGAGGGGACAATCCCTTCGGCCACATTCACACTTCACACCATCAACGGCACTCACCGAGCAGCCTACAGTACTCCGCTCTCAGCAGGGGAAAAAATAAACAGCCCATCAAATATGCATGACAATGTGACACCAAACGCCCTCGCAGCAGTAAATGGGTTGAAACTCTCGATTTTAGGTGACGCCAGGGCATTCGATGAACGGGTGGTGATCATACACTTTCAGTCTCGCTGCAGCCACATGGCGTTTCATTGTCGCAAGGACAGACTGCGTAGAGAAGTTTGCAGACACCTGTTCATACAGCGTTTCCTCTGAAATCAGGAGCAGAAACAGGGAGTTTTTCTCCTCTTTGATGCAGTAACAGCCTCTAAACTGCAAAAACTGATATTTTATTGTAAACATATTAAATCTAGTCCACATATCTATTATAATCTATCATAATATCTAGTATAATAAATCCAGTCAACATGTCTCAGTATCTCTGTTGTAATCTGTTATAATCTGTTATATCTGTTATAATAAGTCTAGTCAACATGCCTCAGTATCTCTATTGTAATCTATTATAATCTGTTATATCTATTATAATAAATCTAGTCAACATCTCAATATCTCTACTGTAATCTGTTATAATCTGTTATATCTGTTATAATAAGTCTAGTCAACATGCCTCAGTATCTCTATTGTAATCTATTATAATCTGTTATATCTATTATAATAAATCTAGTCAACATGTCTCAGTATCTCTGTTGTAATCTGTTATAATCTGTTATATCTGTTATAATAAGTCTAGTCAACATGCCTCAGTATCTCTATTGTAATCTATTATAATCTGTTATATCTATTATAATAAATCTAGTCAACATGTCTCAGTATCTCTGTTGTAATCTGTTATAATCTGTTATATCTATTATAATAAATCCAGTCAACATATCTCAGTATCTCTATTGTAATCTGTTATAATCTGGCATATCTATTATAATAAATCTAGTCAACATCTCAATATCTCTACTGTAATCTGTTATAATCTGTTATATCTGTTATAATAAGTCTAGTCAACATGTCTCAGTATCTCTACTGTAATCTGTTATAATCTGTTATATCTATTATAATAAATCTAGTCAACATATCTCAGTATCTCTATTGTAATCTGTTATAATCTGTTATATCTATTATAATAAATCTAGTCAACATGTCTCAGTATCTCTGTTGTAATCTGTTATAATCTGTTATATCTGTTATAATAAGTCTAGTCAACATGCCTCAGTATCTCTATTGTAATCTATTATAATCTGTTATATCTATTATAATAAATCTAGTCAACATGTCTCAGTATCTCTGTTGTAATCTGTTATAATCTGTTATATCTATTATAATAAATCCAGTCAACATATCTCAGTATCTCTATTGTAATCTGTTATAATCTGGCATATCTATTATAATAAATCTAGTCAACATCTCAATATCTCTACTGTAATCTGTTATAATCTGTTATATCTGTTATAATAAGTCTAGTCAACATGTCTCAGTATCTCTACTGTAATCTGTTATAATCTGTTATATCTATTATAATAAATCCAGTCAACATATCTCAGTATCTCTATTGTAATCTGTTATAATCTGTTATATCTATTATAATAAATCCAGTCAACATATC